ATTATTTGGGAATTAATCTTTACAGGAGCAAATCAAGCATGCTGACAAACAACTCAAGTATCAGTGCCACTGTTCTTTTCTCGAGGTAGAAATTCGGAGTAATTATTCATTTTGGTTGACTGGTAATTGGTCAATAGCCTTTTAACTTCTTTCACTTGATTACCGGCTTATTTGCAGATTTACAATGAACAAATCACAGATCTTTTGGATCCAAATCAAAAAACCCTTCAGGTAAATGTAATAGTTTGCTTTTTTCATCATCTTATTTACTATAAGTGGTCTGGTGTTAATAGATCTTCTATCATTATTTTTCCAGATAAGAGAAGATGTTAAATCAGGTGTCTATGTCGAAAATCTCACAGAGGAGTGTGTACACACTATCAAAGATGTGACTCAGCTTCTGATAAAGGTTTGCTTTATTATTTTACTTGTACAATAGGCATAGTGTATATGACACAGTTGAAGATCCTTTTATTGGAATACAAATAATTCTCCCTCAGGAACCTGTGTCTTTCAAATGTGGAATTTTAGTTTTATTTGTATATTCAATTTGACAATTATATATCCTGGTTATTTCTGTGATCTGGTAGCTCTCATTGGATGTTGATGACACTAGTTTCTTTAGCTACATGTAAAGTGTTTCAAGGTCTTGACGTGATGTCTGGTAAATCTTTGTCTGCAAGTCAACAATAAAGACTTGACTCTTATGCAATATTACCAAAGAGTAAGAATTTTTTCTGATAAGATGTATCACATATCGAACCAATCGTTTTGAATAACAAAGTGGGAGAAACAGATTTAATGGATCAGAAAATAACGTAAAGGGAAGGGATCTCTTTGAAGTCCTGCTGGCTGTTTGGTTTTTTGGCATGGATCTTCTTTACCTAAGAAGTGAACATCATATTGACTTTCTAATTCCTACTCCTGTACATCTGAAATGAAAAAAGATAAATTTGAAAAATATATAAATGGATACAGTAATTTTTTAATGTTCTTTTTGATCATTTCAAGAGTTTTAGCAAATTTTACTGGTCTTGCTTACGTCAACTACTTGAGAAATAAAATGCAAGTTTGCAGTAGATTTTACATAAAGAGGTGTTTTGGTAAAAAATATTCTTGTTTTGTCTCTAAGTCTCACAACTACGTGCATGCATATTGAGCATCACATAAGTTTTATAGAACAATTTTATGTTGCTGTTGAAATTGGAAGTGGTTGCATCAAAGAACAAGAGTCTGAAAATGCAGATTAATGTATGTAAGAAAAGTTTCATGATTGTTGAATGTGTTTCGAACAAGAAGAGTATTATGATTCTTAATTGCGTATCAAACACCCCAGATATTCCAAGTAACAATGCGTTTATCATAATGTTATAGAGGAAAATGGCATTGTTGATGGGATTTTTCTGGGAGTCTGGCTGAGAGAATATTCTAAGCTCCTCCATTAACTTTTGAAAGAATAATTGGAGCTTGAATAGTTGTTTAAGAAACTCCGTTACTAACATATACGTTATGCAGGGCTTGTCAAACAGGAGGACAGGTTCAACTAGTATCAATGCAGAGAGTTCCCGCTCACATACTGTATTTACCTGTGTGGTTGAATCTCAATACACGGTACTAACCGACTCGAGGACCTATGTACTGAATAATTGCCCAATGAATGTTCATTATGATTTACTTATTTTCACAATTGAAATTTATGTGTATTCAATTTGTTTTCTCACACTTATGTGTCGAGTGATTAAAGTGAACCATCACTTTTGTAGAATGTGGCAAATGGTATAAGCAGCTTTAAAACCAGTAGAATAAATCTTGTTGATCTAGCTGGGTCAGAGCGTCAGAAGTTAACAGGTGCAGCAGGAGAACGCTTGAAGGAAGCAGGGAATATCAATCGATCACTCTCACAGCTTGGGTATGGTTTATCTATCTGCTCTCATATTTAATTTTCCATTTAAAGGTGCATTTCAAGCTTGCGAAAATTTCTAAACAACATTGCTGTTATTTATTGTTTGATTGGAACACAGTAGCTAATTACAGATTAGAGTGATTTGTAAAACAGCAGTATCAGTTTATTATAACTTATAAGTAAATGGCTCAATGTTAATAGCATGTTTGAATTCTTATTCCAAATTTTGAGTTAACACGCTTGGAAACTAGCTCTGCCGAGCCGTGCTTCACCTAACCAGAGTGTCGCTTTATAAATTTAGGGTTTAGGGTTTAGTGTCGCTTTATAAATTTAGCCATGCATTTCAAGCTTGCGAAAATTGGGAGACTTTGGAAAAACACAAAGGAGAGAGAAATTTTGTAAAAGAAGCCAAAATGGACAAAATTGCCCTTATTTATTTTTGGATTTCCTAAGGAATTCTTTACATTTGCATGTCTTTGATTTGAAAGTTGAGAGGTTTTTCTGTCTTTTTTGAAAAAGCTTTGGCTTTTTCCAAAAGTGAATTTTTTTTTTTTTGGGCTAAAACCTAAATTTACTTTTTTTTAAACAGCAGTATCAGTTTATTATAACTTGTAAGCAGATGACTCGAGGATAAATAGCATGTTTGAATTCTTAATCCAAATTTTGAGTTAACATGCTTGGAAACAAGCTGTGCTGAGCCTTGCTTCACCTAACCAGAGTGTCGCTTTATAAATTTACACAAGCTTAAGTTTGCTGTTTAGTTGAACTTGTGCCATAGTTGAACTTCAGGACTAAAAACTAAAAAACCAAATTTCTTCCTTGAACTTGAGAAAAATTAACTATGAAAGAAAACTATGATTTTTATTTGCATTCATATGACTTTTTGAGTGATCTGGTGGAAGTTACGGCGTCTCTCTATCTCTCTCCTCAGATTTAAAGTTCTATTATGTTCATGTCAATGTTGACATGTTCAAGACATTTTTTTAGATTTGTGCTAATTGCAGCTGATTATCTGAGTGCAGAAACCTGATAAACATTCTTGCTGAAATTTCTCAAACGGGAAAGCAAAGGCATATCCCCTATAGAGATTCCAGGCTGACATTCTTATTACAGGAGTCTCTTGGGGGAAATGCAAAATTAGCGATGGTCTGTGCTATTTCTCCAACACAAAGGTAGTACTGCAACCCCTTTCTTCCTTCAAAGTAGCATTTAACATTTTTTACGTTCTTTCATGAACTGGAAATTCACTTAATTTAACCTTGCAGCTGCAAGAGTGAGACTTTCAGTACATTGAGGTTTGCCCAGCGTGCTAAGGCTATCAAGAACAAGGCAGTTGTTAATGAAGTAACGCAGGAAGACGTGAACCACCTGCGTGAGGTGATACGGCAGCTAAGGGTATGTTCTCTTTCACTGTAATCTGGAATATTGTGATTCATAAATCTACAAATTAAACATGTGAATCATTCCTATGAGCTTGTAAATTTAACAGGATGAACTACAACGGATTAAGGCAAATGGAAACAATCCAGTTGCTTCGAATGGAGGTCACAGTGCAGCATGGTTTCGTCAGAGTTTGAATTTACTAAAGGCTAGCCTTAAACCACAAATGACATTACCTCGTGTCGATGATGACAGCGATGAAGAGATGGAGATTGATGAGGAAGCTGTTGAGAGGCTTTGTGTTGAAGTAAGTAACCAGACAGTTAGTGAAGCTAACAACAGAGCTGATGCGAACATTGTAGAAACAATGGAATTACATTCACAACCTGTGGCTGTTGAAAATGGAAGCTCTGATGGCCCTCAAGACTATACGTCTGGAAGTGGTTGTAACAAAGAACAAGGTTGTGATACAGATGTTAATATGGAAGAAGGAATATCTGAACAAGAAGGGGACATGATTGTTGAATGTGTTGCCGACACCCCAGTTATTCCCTGTGCTAATGCATCGGATCTTCATAATCTTATAGAATATACCTCTGTGCAGCCTGCTCAGAAAGAAAATATTCTAAAATCCTCCATCAGTAGTTTGCTAAATGAAGAATCAGCGAACAAAAGAGGGCATGAAGGTTCTTCATGTCCAGCCTCTGATCCTCCTGGAGGAGTGTCTGGCTGCCTTTCAGTTGCAGATGAATGCATTGGTTCTCCAAATGGCTTAGTTAATTGTGTTTCTCCATGCCTGAGCATAGTTCCATGCGATGTATCCCCAGTCCTAAAGTCTCCTACCCCCAGTGTTTCACCCAGGGTCAACACCAGCAGGAAAAGTTTGAGGACCTCATCAATGCTGACTGCTTCTCAGAAGGATCTTACTGGTGGAAGTACATTAAGTCCAGAGGCCATGCACGTATCTTTGGCAAAACCTGCAATAAATAGCTCATCAGATGACGTATCTGCTCAAACATGTAAGAACTTTTCGGCACCAGCTGAACAGTTGGCAGCAAGCATTCGCAATGGCCTTGAAATTATTGGTAGTCACCGCCATAGTTCAGCTTTGAGGAGGTCGTCATTCAGGTTTTCATTGAAACCTTCCGAGTCTAGGCTGATTTTGCCAGTTTCTAAAGCTGATGTGGGTGTGCAAACTAGTCATGAAATAGTCGAAGAAGATTCAGTGGAATTTATGTGTAATAATTGCAAGAACAGAATGCAGCTAGAGGTCAAGGAGGTCAATGAAATTTCAGATCTGCAATTATTACCTGTTGATGGGTCAGAGTCTGCTGACAAATCCAAGATACAAGTTCCCAAAGTAAGTTCAGGAGAGAGTAGCTGAATTTTTAAGTTATTGTTTCCAAACTTTCTGTATTCATGTGCAACAGCCACTTGACTTTTCCCCCATTTACTCAACAGGCTGTGGAGAAGGTTTTAGCGGGAGCTATTAGGAGAGAAATGGCATTAGAAGACATATGTGCCAAGAAAACTTCTGAGATAATGCAGCTCAACCGTTTGGTAGGTTTCTCCAAATTCTGTGACAGCCATCCATAGCCATTATTTTCGTCTGCTACTGGCGTGACATATTTTAACTCTGATTTACAGGTGCAGCAGTACAAGCATGAGAGAGAATGCAATGCCATTATAGCCCAAACAAGGGAGGATAAAATTCTACGCCTTGAGAGCCTTATGGATGGTGTTTTACCCACTGAGGAGTTCATGGAGGAAGAGCTAGTGTCTCTCACACACGAGTATAAGGTATAAATCTTTCTTTGGAGGCTCCTTTGTTGTCTTTTTTTTTGGCCTGATCCTTTTTGTGTTCCTTGTGCTTTTTTTTGTTGGTCTTATTGTGTTCTTTATGCTTATGCTTACCCATCGCATACAGCTTTTGAAGGAAAAATACGAGAATCACCCAGAACTTTTGAGGACAAAGATTGAATTGAAAAGAGTTCAAGATGAGCTGGACAATTTACGAAGTTTCTGTGATATGGGTGAAAGGGAAGTGTTGTTGGAAGAGATTCAAGACTTGAGAAGCCAGCTACAGTATTATGTGGACTGTTCATCCACATCAGCCCGGACACGGAAGTCTATGCTGCAGTTGACCTATTCACGTGACCCCAATGTGGCTCCTCTTAGTACGATTCCAGAGTCAACTGAGGAAAGTGCTGAACAGAAACTTGAACAAGAAAGAAAACGGTGGACTGAGGTAGAGAGTAACTGGATTTCCTTGGCTGAAGAGTTGAAAATTGAACTTGAGGCCAGCAGATCACTGGCTGAAAAGAATATGCGAGAATTAGAAACTGAGAAGAAATGTGCAGAAGAGCTCAAGGAAGCAATGCAACTTGCGATGGAGGGGCAATCACGGATGTTGGAGCAGTATGCAGATTTGGAAGAGAAACATATGCAACTACTTGCAAGGCATAGAACAATACGGGATGGAGTAGAGGATGTGAAGAAAGCAGCTTCTAAGGCAGGAGTCAGGGGTGCTGAGTCTAAGTTCATAAATGCTCTCGCAGCAGAAATTTCAGCATTGAGAGTAGAAAGAGAAAGAGAGAGGAGATATCTTAGGGATGAAAATAAGGGGCTTCAGGCACAATTGCGGGATACTGCTGAAGCTGTGCAGGCTGCGGGGGAATTACTTGTGCGACTCAAAGAAGCAGATGAGGCTGTTGCTACTGCTCAGGTATGTTAAAATGTGGTTTTCTGTTTTGATTCCTTGTCATTTTACTTGGTTGAGATTCTTATTTTCAAGGTTGTTGTGACTTCTTTTTTCTTCGTAAAACTATGTTCATAATCAGATAAGTTGTTTCTATTTTTGTCCTTTTTTCTTTTGCATTGAAGTTCTGAAGTTTCATTGCAAAATAATTTTCTGAGTTTCTTTACACAAGATTATGCAAAAAGGGAATACTCTGCTTCTCTTCAATATTCAGAAAAGCCTTGATAATGAGCTTAAAATACTCAGATAAACCAACTTAACTAACTACAACTTTAGTTTTTGACTGGCAACCAACCTAATTTCAAAAGACTAAATGTTGTTACAGCCTGAAAGTAGGTAACTGTGACAGACCTGCAGTCCAATTTAACCAGGGCCCTAAATATTGCACTTTAAGTTAAATACTGGCAACGAGAGGAATAACCTGAATTATGTTGAACCATTCTTCCTAGGCCAATCCCTCATGTTGAGCTGAGATATTGCATTTTGACTGAAAATTTGAAAGTTTGAATCATATAGATACACTCTGTTCATGTAAACTCTTAATCCTATTTGCTCCATTTATAGTCTTTTCATGCATGCTTAACATAGGACTTATTTGAAATTTAATAACGTGCAGAAGCAAGCTATGGAGGCCAAGCAAGAAGCAGACAAGGCTTACGTGAAGATTGAAAAACTGAAGAAAAAACATGAGAAGGAGATTAGCAGTCTCAATGAGCTCCTTGCCCAGTCTAGTTTACCCAAAGAAGCAATCCGACCTGCTATTGATGATGGTTCTCATATGCCAAAATACGATGTGGGCGAGCCCCGTAGTTTAAGTGATCAACGATGGAAAGAGGAATTTGAACCATTCTACAATGGGGAAGATGGCGAGTTACGAAAACTCACAGAACCCTCATCATGGTTCTCCGGTTACGACCGGTGCAACATATAGAAAGCGAATTTAGAATGGCTACATAGTGTATAATATAGACTACTAAGTGTGTGTCCAATAGCTCCATTGTATGCAGGTCATCTGGTTGGTCACCAGTTTGACCATTGCCATTATATTTTTTTTCAAGTGCATTTTGTATTCTTCTATATCAGATTCTTTCATAAGAGATGAGTGAATGGATGTATTCTTTTATTCATATTCCCCCCTGTTTGCAAGCATCTAAAATGGGCTCACTTTTATATAAAGTTATGGTCTGGTCTATTCTCATGCCCAGTCTTCCTTCCTAGCAACCCAAACCAAACACAAAACACATGCTCTATAAAATCTCTTCATTCCATTTGGTTCACAGATATACCAAAATGTGGGTGTGCACAATAACTGCCATATTGCAATTAAATGGGAGACTGAGAAAGTTTTGGATATACTGGATGTGGTGGGCCCCATTCTGAATAGACAATATACACTTGCTACATACATGGATAGCTACAGTATGTATAGATCCAATTAAAAATAGGTGCATTTACAAGATTTTAGGATCATTTATTTTTGTTTGGTGTGTATGTGTCAAGAGGGGAGGGGGCAATGTTCAAGTGGATGAAAGAAGTATGTCCATGCCCTGTGTTAAATAGGAGGCATAAAACAGACAGTCCACAAGTACTCTTCACATTGGAAGCCTACTTATCTGGGAGAGTGGTCTAAGCTTGTCATGGAGACCACAAAACAAGAGGTTTGTTGTTGCTTTGTCTTTCTCTGACATGAATCTCTATCCTTACCAGTGGACCATTGAAATTCCAGAGGTTGTTTAATAAGGCTGGGGATGGCTGGATAACAGGTAGGCCTGCAACCCTAGCAAAACCCAACTGGAAAGAAGTGTACATCTTCTTCACCTCTTCTTTTTTCAATTATTATTATTTTTAATTAATACAAGCGACATTGAAAAGGAGAATCAAACCTAGTATTTGGAATGCAAGAATAAATGTTCGGAACCACTTGAACTACAAACGCGTTTACTTTCAATTTTGATATTGGTATGTAGGTTTTTTTTTTTCAACGACAATTTGGTTGAGTGGCAGTCGGTCTTTACTTTTACAAAATGGAGGTTTATATTTTAGTCAAATAATTTGTACTCAGAGTAAGATTATTAAATATTTAAAGTCATGAAGAAAAAAACATACACACATGGACAATTTCCAACCGTTTTATACAGGGAAGCAAAATTGTCTGGAAATGAAAAATTCAGCAGTGGCCCACAGGAGGTAAGACAAAGTGTGGGTTTGGTCTAAAATCAAAGTCTAATCCAGCATACTTTCTTGGCTTAGCTGGATGTAACTTAATTTGGGCAGGCCCTTCAATTACTCTTCAATTTTGTAATAAAATGGAAAATGAATGGCAATAACAGACTATAATCCCAGTCAATTCCTTTCCTTGGAAGCAACAATATCTGTCCTAAATCTAATTATAAACCCAACCAACAGTCATCACCTTCAATGTTGAGTCACCCAAACCTGATAAAGCTGTGGTGCAATTGGCATGCATGTAAAGTATACATTTGTGCCAAAGAAAGGCTTGATGATAACCTTGAATGGTCATGGTTGGTGATGTAAAATGATAGTTTCCTACTGGTTACTGCCACTGTTATCCCCTCCCCAACCCCACATCAAAGGTCCTGTATACCAACCAAAGTTAAAGCTAAATGCTTCTTGAGGTGACATAAAGGGAGTTCATGATTTTAAGGAAAGAAAAAAATAATACCAACCAAGAGATAGAGACATAAAGGTAGCGATTTTTCGTGTTATAATGAAACTTTCGGGTGAAATTGTAACACCGTCAAATTGTGTTACTAATTTTCGTACTACAAATATAATACGGGTGAACGACAATTTTATATTAGGTGTGATGTTAATAAATGAGAAAATTTATCTCTTGAGCAAAATATGCTAACAGCAACACGTGGCGTAAGAAAAAGTTACGAATCCGTCGCTCGCCAGTAAAACCGCTGCAGGAGGAAGAAAAATAGGACAGGCTGGTTGATTTGACTCCATGAGAGTGTGTAGACAAACATATTGCATCAGTCTTTCCTAATCCCACTCCCTACCAGAGAGGATTGAGGACCACATTTCTCACTATCACTGCAGTCAGTTACGGCTTCCCAATTGATATTTTGGGAACCAATTTGGACCGCTGGAGAATTAATTTTGTTCTCATCAATCATCACCACTTATATCTTATCAACTCTCCAAATCATAAATTAATCAAACCTAAACTCATCTTTAAATAAATAAATAAATAAATAAATAAATAAATAAATAAATAATTTGGACACGAAAAAAAAGACACGAGTGTTGATGGGGATTAAATTTGGTCACTAGGAAGGAATGGCAATGAGCTGAGATGTGGGGGTGGGCTTGTCATTCTCATGTCCCTTTCTCCAAACGAGGCCAACCAGGGAGGTAAGTCATATATGATTTTTCTTTTTTATAATCATACGTGGCAATGCCTTCGTAAATATATAATACAGTACCTTTATAACCAAAGTACCTTTAATATGGTACCAAATTAAACCTTACGTTATTCAAAGTAATTAATTAAACTTTACTTTCTACCCACCCGCTTTTTCTGTTTCGCATTTACATGCATTGCATGCGGCATGCTTTTATAAAGCGAAATGAGTTCAACGATACATAATTAGGAAAATAACCAAAGTGTTTTCCCCATTCGAAGGCCTAGGAAGGATGCCAGAGGCGGCTCATGGGATGTGCGAGGTGTGCGATAGCACAGGGCCCCCAAAATTTAGGGGCCTCTAAATTTTTCCAAGTCAACTCATTAAATTAACTAAAACATGAAAATAAAATTGAAATATTAAATATCACCCCACAAAACCACATGCAAAGCACCAAAATCAAAATTGAATTGAATATTAATTATCAACAAATTCTACGACTTAGAGAGTATAGGCCCTAATTTAATTCATTTTCATCTTCCCAACTCTCACGCTGCAACTCTTCTTTTTATTTATTTATTATGGTTGAAACCTGTGTTTACCTCTTCCTAACTCTCAAGTTGCAATACCATTCTAATGTTCTTTTCTTTTTCAGTAAGTCTTTCTCACTCTCCTCCATCAAAATAAAGCCATTTCTCTTCAGTACAAGTGTACCACTCTCTTCCATCAAATTTTGGATTGTAAAAACCTATGCTTTAGCTCTTTCCCCAAAATCACAGTTCTTTTCTCTCTCCCTTATTCACATGAGAATTCACCAAACATTGAAATTGGAAAATCAATTTGTCAGCTCTGTGATTTGGAAAGGTGACTAAAGAAATTTTTATGGGAAACTCTTTCCGAATGTGTTTTTCCCGTGTCAGAAATTTTTGTTTCTATACGGATTTTTTTTTCCTACTTGTATATATAGGGCCTCGACATCCATATTTGCATAGGGCCTCCAAAATCAATGGACCGGCTCTGGAAGGAGCTAGGCAATTCTACGCTTAGGGCGACAACTTTTAACACGACTTAAAATTTAAAAGAAATAATTAGGTTAAGGTTAATCAAACTTGACATGAGTAGCACCATCGATACCATGTCAAATTTCATAGAGACGGGTTAGCGGCTCACTACTAGTTAGCAATACCGATATTGTCCCCAACTGAACCACATACAAAGCCTAGTAGGTATGATGTTTTATCACAAAAAGCCTCGGTGTTATTAGAAGTGGAATCACTTATCATAAATTATAATTTATTTAGTTAAGTTTTCGACGTGGGACTTTCGATTATTTCAACAGTAAGAAACCATACAAATAAAAAATAGCTAAAGTTAGTGTGAAGTCATTTAATATAATTGATCAGATAATGTTGATCATAGTTAATCAGGGCTTGACACGTCTTTGGCAACAACAGAAAAAACAAAACAGAACTAAGGCTTGACACGAACCGAAAACAACACAATCCAGACACTTACACCACGGGCATGCCACCCCTGTCTATGCATACAAAACAAATATTATTAAATAGATGTCTATGAACAGTTGAGAGAGAAGAGAAATTGAAAATGCAATCCTAATCACCGACTCTTTTAATTCATTTTCTTAATATAATTTAAGATAATTTATGATATTGTGGATTGCAATATTAAAGGAGTGTGATTTGTTAAAATGTGGACGTAACCCCAACTCTTACCTGGACAGCATGTAGGCGAATTGTGTCTCATCACTCATGTTAGTTTGTCTACTAATGACCAAGACTGGCTAATTGAACAATTAGTTTAGATGTCATTGTCAATGTGTCAATGTGTCAATGTTACAATGAAAATCCAGCCAGGAACTTTGAAAATATTTTGGCAAAAGGTATGGAGGAAGTGCTAAGAACTTTTCTATTTTGGTCGAAAAGGAGGTGCTTAGATTAGATCCAAACCAAACCTTATGTATGCAATCCTCTACCGTAACAATCATAGCCTACTACTCATTAGGGGTCAACAATAAACAATTTGAAACATTCAAAGCGATGAAATGAAGTAAATTCGAGCAGTTTGTTTCAGATTCTCCAATAACGTAGACTTTGTGTTACTAAACCAAATGGTCATTGAAAATTTGATAACATTTTTAATTTGTTTCAGATTTACATTTTTGTTAATTGGTTGCCAAAAATGATCAAGAGGTGAACAATCATTCATCATAATAACTCGGTTCTACATGTCTGTCACGTTAGATCTTATATCTTGTTACAATGTTGTGAAGAAAAGTATAAATTTGGTCACATAAAAATGTTAAGATGAAGAGTTTTATTTGTTGAGCTTTACTCAAAAGCCTTTGTCACTTACATATGGATGTATTATAAAGTGATGCTTATTACACATGAAAATTATAGTTTACGTATACTTCAAGTTAAATGAAAAACCCAACTTGCAAACTTTTAATATTATTTAGACTTACCAAGTTATGGTGTTAGTGTGTTATTTGTTTACCCCAAAAGAAAAATACTACAATTGATAAAAATAAAATAGAAAATGAGAAATAAAACACTACCAAAGGTAAACCATAATAATTATTAATTGATTAAAATTTGAGAAAAAGTTAAAGTAACTCTGTTATTATAATTTAATTGAAATGTCACCTTAAACTTGAAAATGAAAAGACTAAAATACCCTTAAAAATGGATGGAAAATTAGATGATGTTAAAATTTCAAATGACATAAATTTTGAAAAATTACGGTAACAT